TGACCTATGAAGTAAAATGTAAAGCTCTCTCTAAAAGACAATTCACTTTTTACATCGCCCAAAAAAAAAAAAAAAAAAAAAAAAAAAAAGTCAAAATGTAAAGCTTCTCTAAAAACAATTCACTTTTTACATCGCCTAAAAAAAAAAAAAAAAAAAAAAAAAAAAATCCCTCAACCCGAATCCCACGTACGGCTGCCACAAAAAAAAAAAAAAAAAAAAAAAAAAATCCCATCAACCCGATTCCCACGTCGGCATGCCACTATATATATATATATATAGATTTGTAAAAAATTCTGAAAAAAGAAGAGGAAAAAATCATATAAAAGACAAATTCAATATAGAATGCATGTACAGAAATAATTCATAAAACTAACTAAAAACATGATCTCTCTGTGTCTTACTGTATAGAATATAGTAACAATGAGCTTTCGCCATCCTTGTAAAATGTGTCTTTTCTCTCTCTTTTCTTTCTTTCCTTATGGACAGTCCCTTGTCCATCTCATCTCATTTTGAGCAGCACAGAGGGTTAATAATAATAATAAAAAAAATTACAAAGAACAGAGCAAAGGCGGAGGAGTGGGTGTAGAGTCAAACAAGGCCAAAAATATATATATATATTTTAAAAAAAAGGGAGAAAAGTGGAAAGGAAGTACAAGAATGGGTTTAATTACGAAAAAAGAAATGGGAAAAGAAGGTTAAAAAGGTGGGTAGAGTGAAAGCAACATGTCAAAAGCTATGGGTTCGGTTTTTGGGAAGTGAGGTATGAAATTGAAAAGAACCTCCTCCTCGACCCCAACAATATCAACGCCCTCTTCTCTTCTGTCTTCTCCTTTCCAACCTCAACTCCTTCTTCTGTTTTTATTTTTCTTTCGAATCTAACTATTTATTTAATCTCCTAATTACTCTATGCTAATCTACTGCACCAAACTTACTTCAACGTGCTAAATACTTTAATTCACTTTTGAAAACATCCTATTAAGTCAAAATTTAAATATAATTCACATCATTTTATGCTAAATGGTTTTTTTTTTTTTAGTTATGAAAATAAATATATCACGATTAATCGAGTTTAATTAGATCAAATAAAACTGACTGAATTCCTAAGTAAATTTCACCTAAAAGATTGAGAGTTTAAAATTTCAAATTATTATTGAATTAAAACCCACCAAATCGTCAATTTTCATGGTTTATATTTTTAAGTGTTTTGATTTAATTTTTATTTAATCAAATCATAAAATCAAACCAACCCATTTACTTAAAAAATGAAATAATATAATATAGAAATATGTGATTTTTTCTACTAATATAATGGCAAGTTGATTTTTAATACTTCAAACTCTATCTACTATTTAGTGACATTTTCAGTGAATTTACAAAAATAGCTTCTTGGATATTAGATAATTTACATATTTTGAAATAAATATTAAATACCCTTAACATAAATTAAATAGGAACCTGCCACGCACAGGAGTAGCAGTTGGGCAGGTCATAAAGAAGTTCACAGTTGCAAAGTTGACAGGTGCCTGAGCAATTATTAACGGCGATAATTAGTTGATTAATTTTAGTATTAATACAGACTATAAAGCATAACGGCGTTTATACTATGTTTATTAGTTTATATTTCCAGCTACTTTACTATTAACGAAGAAAAAGCAAACACAGTCTCGAAATTGGCATGAGATGTTTGCAGATGCAAATTTTTTTTTGGCTGAAAAAACGTACGACTTCCCATTGATTCTGAAAATGACTTTCTGACTCGATTGCATTTCAATCTACTTAATTTACGCCTCGTTCCTTCCAATTTCATAATAAAATATTTACATTTTTTATTTTATTTTTCCATTTCATTAATTTTACATTACACTCCCTTTGCATTATTACATGATCTTGTCTTACCTAGGCACAACTAAAGTAACATGAAAAGTATAGAATTCTCACATTAAAATAAATTCCAAAAATACAAAGAAATACGAGATCGGAAAGCCTACTAACTAATTGATTAATTATAATATTAAGTTAGGATTTTAAATAACTCATATTGTTAAATTTGAACTTGGTATGATAAAAGTCTTTTAATTTAAGTTTGAGTTTAACTCGATTCTGATTTTTTCAGAAAAAAATTTTTTTATTTTTTTAAACTCAAATTCATTTTTTTAAACCTATCAAACCAATTTTTTTGGCCAAATGTCAAATAGTTACAAACAATTTGACTTATTCTCTAATAGCGCAGTCCAAGTTTCTCTTGTTATATGAATCGTTTTATAAGTTTTTAAATGCCTTTTAGGATAATAATTTTACACAGTGACATGGGAAAAATCAAACTTGTACATGTTTGCTGAAACGTCACAGGCAATCGTTTAACCATTCTTACCTTTTTCATGCAAAATTTATTTGCTTCATATAGCTAGAAAAAATCAATAAGATTTGTTTCACGGACGGGGAAGAAAGGGTAAAAGAGAAATGAAACATTATGTTGACCCTCGAAAAGTACGTGGAGTATAATTTTATGTGAATGTTAAAATCTGAATTTAAATCGGTTTTGAATTGATGATTTCGGTTCGATTCAAATTGAATTTTTTTTTTTATTTTCAAAATGATAATCACTTAGCAGATTTTATACATATTTAAAAATCTCAATATTATTTTAATACATGATATACTTTATTTAATTTTTTTAAATATACTTTACTTTAAAAATTAAAAATTTAAAAAGTAAAACGGTAAAAAAAGAGAGAAATATTTAGGCTAAACTTATATTGTTTTAACTTTTTTTTTACCCTTTTAAATTGTTTACTAAGTTTAAAATTACATTCTTTTGAAGCATTTTTCAAAATTTTCTTATAATTTATGTTTAAAGAATTACATTCCTTTTGAAGCCATTTTCAAAAATTTTTCTTAATAATTTATTTAATTAATAACATTTTAAAACAAAATAAGTGATAATTTGATTTGATTTAATAACATTTAAACAAAATAAAGTGATAATTTATTTGATTATTTTGTAAAATTAATTAATTATTCTTATATGAGTATGAACATTCTAAAATTTATTTAAAATAAAATTTATCAATATTTTTTAAACTAATATTAATATTTTCAAAAAAAAAAATGTAACGTTAGAATCGATTTTTTTTAAAAAAAAAAACATAAATCACCAAAAATCGTGATTGAAACCGCACCGGAACCTGCCGAAACTGAAACCGGACCGAAACCGTCCATTCAAGGGCCGGTTTAAGTTCAACATTTTTAAATTTTGAACCGTCGGTTCTGTAAATCGTCCGTGCCTACTCTGAATTATAATTCGGGGGGAGAAGGAATACAAATTTTAAATTAAATGTTAGATATTGAACCTGAAACGTTCCAGGGCACCACTCTTGTCACTAGGCCAGAGATTATTTACTAGTTGTATAATTTGAGTTGAGTTGCCATTAATCAAAAATTGTATTTAATGTACAATACAAGGTACGTTCGTACAAGGAAATATATATATAACGTGAATTTAAGAACAATGAGATTGAATTGTACACACTTAACGCAATCTTGTTGGAGGACATGGGTTGTTGATGTTGTCCTTTGCTAGTGTGTTAACTTCTTCTTGTTGGTGTGATCAAAACTTAGACATAAGTACCTAAATTATACTAGTACATTATTTGTTTGGACTAACATTGTCCAATTCATTTTTATTTTCTTTTACAAGAAATGAGCTATCAAATCTATGCAACTTCTTCGCAATTATTTATGGATACACTAATTGACTAATGAAATGATTCATTTTTATTTTTCAAATCAGAAATTCAGATATTTGTACTACTTAAATTACTGCATTTTCCAATCTTACATCGAATAAATGCAGTTTGCTAGAGTAATATATAAATAAAATCTATAAACTTATTTCTTAGTCGATAATTATTTAACATTATAACTTATTAAGTTCGTAAGTCCATATTATTAATCCTTTGGTGATTTAATGACTCGACATTCAACATTAAATTGCTACAATTTTTGGAAAAAGAAAAGAAGCATTAAGGAAGTTATTGAAACAACCTAATTATTTGAAAACTAGAAAGAAAATTCAGACAAGAACCAACTATGGGGTATGTTCAAGTCATGGATTTAAGAATGATGGGATTTAATTCAACATTACCTTGTTGGAGGATATGGCTGCTTGATATTGTCTTTATTAGTGTCTTAACTTCTTCTCCTTGTTGTGTCTAAAGCTTGGAAAATCCCTAAATAATTACATAATTTGTTTGGATTAACATTTTCCAATTTATATATATATAATTAACATAATTGGTTTGGATTAAACATTTTCCAATTTATATATATATATAATTAAATTTTTTTTTTTTTTTTTTAAAAAAGAGAAACTTTCAACATGAAAATATATGTCAAACCCACTTAATCACTTCATAGCTATAGCTTAATTGCATATTCAAAGAGTTTAGGAAATGGAAAAGGCAAGAATCCTAATTAACTATTTCAAGAACTTGAAAAGAAAAATCAAATTATCCAAGAAGAGAAGGGGAAAAAGGCAAAAATATTAATTAAAAAAGACACAAGTATATTAAATACTAATAAAACAAACAAGAGGCAAAAGAAAATATTAGGCATAGACTGCTAGATTATAGATAGAAATGCTAGGTGTATACAAACATAACACAGGAGACGAGGATCATTGAAATGGCCGTTGCTTTGAAGACGTCAAACAAGCAACGACGAACTACAAACCCATCTATCATCTCCAACATCCCACTCTCTCTCTCTCTTATTAATACCATTTCCCATTTGATTATCAACAAACACATGCTCTCTTTCATATAAGACGCTTAGCTAACCGCCACCAGCAAAACCCTCTCTTCCACCACCTCCACCACCACCTCCACCACCTCAATAACCCTTCACTTCCTTTTTTTTTTTTTTTTTTTTTTTTTTTTTTTTTTTTTTTTTTTTTTTTTGTACTTTTGTTGTTATCTTTTTTTTTTTTTTTTTTTTTTTTTTGTACTTTTGTTTATTTATATTAAAATATTGATCGAAAGGAAAGGAAAGTAAAAAGGTTTTCATAGAAGGTCGTGTAGGGCTGAGAAAGAAAGAAGAATCCCAACGCCGCTCTCTGTCTCAATCTTAAACACCGTTATCTGCTTTGGATATGCTCTCTTCTTCTCTTTCTTCTTTTTCCTTTTCCTTTATATCATTGGCAACAAACTATGAGGATCAAACATCAAACAGCTGGTGCACTTTCTGGATCTCTCTTTATTGTCATTATTGCTTATTATTATATCCATTTTCATGGCTGCCTTTGCTGAAAATGGTGGGGATACTGAATTGAATGGGAGTAACAGCAACGATAGCAAGAGTAACAGTCATAGCCATAGCCATAGTACCACTGCAAGCAGTAGCAAAACTCAGGTTATAACAGGAATTGAAGGAAAAGGAAAGATGGTGAGGAAGAGAATGGCTTGTGAAATGATGGAGGTGCAAGCAGCGAATCAAAACCAGAGGTGTTATAGAAGGATTAGTAGTAATACCAATAATAACAATTCTCTTTTGGATGATAATAGTAATATTATTGGTTATTCTTCTTTGACTAATACCGTTAACCCTAACCAAAACCCGAACCCGAACTCATACCCATCACTCAACAACTACTCCACTATGATGAGTATGACTATGTTACCTTCTTCCACAAACTTGACATCTATGACGTCAGGCGGGTCTGTTTCTGTGTCTTTGTGTGGGTTTCTATCCTCTACAGGAACGACCAACTTTACTTGTAATGACACCCTTTCTTCCTCACCACAGCCACATCCACCACAAAGTCAGCTTCAGACCCCAGCCGTTTGTGGCTTCTCTGGTCTTCCTTTGTTTCCTTCTGAAAGAGAAAGGAATCGAAACGCTGTCGTTCCTGTCGTCGTCACTACTACTTCTACTACTTGCAGCTCTACTCCTCTTCCTCCTACTCCTACTCCTACTCCTACTACCATGGAAGACGCCTCCGCTACGGCCTGGATAGATGGTATTATTAAAGATCTTATCCATAGCTCTACTAATGTTTCTATTCCTCAGCTTATTCAGAATGTGAGAGAGATTATTTTCCCTTGCAATCCTAGTCTTGCTTCTCTTTTAGAGTATAGACTCCGGTCACTGGTGGAGCCAATCCCTAATTATCCGGCAGCGGTGGATAGGAGGAGAAAGGATGCGGTTCCGGCTAGAGATTACAATAATCAAGGACAAAGCTCTTCGGGTTTGACTCTAAATCTTGAAAATGTTAACATTTACTCATCATTACCGGATTCTACTGCCGCCGCATCAGTGACTGCGCCGCCCGTACTAAATCAGTACTCTAGTTGGGTATCGTCACCTCCGCTGGTTTGCCAAACGAACAATCAAGTCCATCTTGTTCACGATCAACAACAACAACAACAAGAAGCCAGTCCGTCTTCTACTTCAGTTACACCACCTCTTCTCGCATTGAATCAAACGCATCCACAACAACAAGAACAGGAAAAATCCTCATCTGCCGAAACAGAAGCCGCAGCAACCACTGGAATAGTTACAACGCCGACTTCATTACCAGCGGCTGCAGGAACTAGCGTAAGAGAGAAGAAAGAAGAGTTACGGCAACAAAAGCGTGACGAAGAAGGCTTACACCTTCTAACTTTACTTCTTCAATGCGCAGAGGCAGTTTCTGTAGATAATTTCGAAGAGGCGAATAAGATGCTATTAGAGATCTCAGAACTCTCGACGCCATACGGCACGTCGGCGCAGAGAGTAGCAGCCTATTTCTCCGAAGCAATGTCTGCAAGGTTAGTGAATTCTTGTTTAGGAATATACGCAACGCTACCATCAATGCCTATTAGCCATACACAAAAAATGGCATCAGCTTTTCAAGTCTTCAATGGAATTAGCCCTTTCGTTAAGTTTTCTCATTTTACGGCTAACCAAGCAATACAAGAAGCTTTTGAAAGAGAAGATAGAGTGCATATAATAGATCTGGATATCATGCAAGGGTTACAATGGCCGGGTTTATTTCATATTCTAGCTTCAAGACCTGGTGGACCTCCGTATGTTCGTCTTACAGGGCTGGGCACCTCCATGGAAGCTCTCGAAGCTACTGGAAAGCGTTTGTCTGATTTTGCACAGAAATTGGGACTTCCTTTTGAATTTTTCCCGGTCGCCGATAAAGTTGGTAATTTAGACCCAGAAAGGTTGAATGTTAGCAAGAGAGAAGCAGTCGCCGTTCACTGGTTGCAGCATTCCCTCTACGACGTCACGGGTTCCGATACCAATACTCTCTGGCTATTGCAGAGGTAAATATCCATTTTTTTTATTATAATATATACGTGAACACAAGATCCCAGAACCAAAAAAAAAAAAAAAAAATACGTGAACACAAGATCCCAGAACAAAAAAAAAAAAAAAAAAATCCTCCTTTTCTTTGAACCAAAAAAAAAAAAAAAAAATCTCCTTTTCTTTGTTTTTCTTTTGCTTTACAATTTTTTTATGCTGTTCTTTTATTTTATCTATTAAGTTTGAATTTCACTTTCATTAAAGTCATGATGTTGCTAGCTATTTAGTTATAGTAGTAGTCACTGCAAATTCGTAGCTATCAGTTGTTGCTTAATTCTGCATATAAGACAAGATTTTCTTGATCCCATGGAATACTTCTAACTAGAAACCATTTATAATAAATGTGTTTTGGAATTTTCCTGGAAACTAAATTAAAGGTATCGAATTGGCAGATATAGCTTATTAATGCCAATGGCTTTGAATTTGATTTCAGGTTGGCACCAAAAGTGGTGACAGTAGTAGAACAGGACTTGAGTCATGCAGGATCATTTCTGGGTAGGTTTGTAGAGGCAATACATTATTACTCGGCTCTGTTCGACTCACTCGGAGCCAGTTATGGAGAAGAGAGTGAAGAAAGACACGTAGTAGAGCAACAGCTACTTTCTAGAGAAATACGTAATGTTTTAGCAAGAGGAGGGCCGTCAAGAACTGGAGACCTGAAATTCCATAACTGGAGGGAGAAACTACGGCAATCTGGATTTAAAGGCATTTCTCTTTCCGGAAATGCTGCTACTCAGGCAACTCTACTTCTCGGTATGTTCCCTTGTGATGGTTATACATTGGTAGAGGATAATGGTACTCTTAAACTTGGGTGGAAAGATCTTTGCTTGCTTACGGCTTCTGCTTGGCGGCCTTTTCATGCTACTACTAATACTGGTACCATTCATCAATACCATCATCATCATCTCCATCACCACCGATTTGCCACTGCATAATCTTTGCTGGGAAATTGTTAGTGTGAGTTAAAAATTGTTTGGTCGTAGCCTCCTCTTATACCAATTTGATTGAATAGTTTGTTCTTTAATGTGTTTGGTTATGTTTTACCATATGGTTACAATATTATCACTCATTTCGGATCTCTAATGTGAAATTCTGAGGGATTTTGATTTAGCACATGTAATATATGAGAAAAATATTTTTATCTAATTTTGTTCGATATGTGTGTGTGCACTTCCAAATTTATATAAATTATTTTATATTATTTACGTTAAAGTAAATATTCTGTGAGGTGAAGAAGCTAAAGAACCACCATAAAAGAAGATTCAGATTGAGAGAGAGAGAGGATCAGAATTCAGAAAAGAAAAGGGTATTGGAGAGTGAGAGATGAGAAAAAGGAAATCATCACAGTTTTGGTACCAAAGTATAGTGTCCATGTAGTTAAGTTAATCACGTGATTCTTCTCTTTCTATTTTCTCATTCAATTTTCTTTTTTTTTTTTTTAATTCTTTTAACACATTGCACATATATATGAATTTGATTTTTTTTTTTTAATAGAATGGCATAGTTTATTTTTACATCATCATATATGTCATTACAAATAAGATTATTTGGAGCAATAATAGTTTTTTTGCACTACTTAGTGATGAAAGTTAGTAGCAACAAATCCGAAACGAAATTAATTTCATATTTGAAAGTATACAAAGATCTGCACAAAACAGTGAATGTCTGCGATCACTTTATTTATATAAAACGGTAAGGACTATATAATAATTATCTTTAGAGTGTGTTTTTGACATTTTACAATCACTTAACGAAAAAAACTAATCATAGGACAAGAACGTCAATATAATTTTGAGAATTGAGTATTTGAGTAAACCCTTGAGACTACATAGTAATTAATTACTCAACATAAAATTGTAGAGAATTTTAACTTCAATCACTTGTTAAATCAACTTTTTCTCAGTTAAAAAAAAGCTTAAACACTGATAATTTGAGCTCTTTAAAGATTTCTAATTCAGGTAAATCTCTTATTCTGTGTCTAGTCTAGGTGGGTTGAAATTGGGAAGATAAGATAGGAAAATATCTCAGCATGATGGAAAATATTTTTTTGTTTTTTACTTTTATGGTTAACAAAGGAGTGGAGGAGAAATTTCAACTTCAATACAATTGTTTGTCTTCTCTTGTCTTGTTTAAGATATAACTTTATTACTAGGGTGAGTTTGGAGGTGCATTGTTTTATTTTCTTTTCCTACGAATTCCCTTATTCTCCAACCAAACGTGGTGTTAAAGTTTTTTTATCACGTGACCCTGAGGAATAGCGAACAAATATGAAATACGCTGTTTGGTGCAGCTTTTCCACCTTTTTTTTTTTTTTTTTTAGGGAATATGCGAACAAATTGAAATATCGCTGTTTTGGTCAGCTTTTTCCCAACCTTTTTTTTTTTTTTTTTTTCTGTAAAAGCTTTTCCCCCTTTTTTTTTTTTTTTTTTCTGTAAATTTTTTTTTCCAACTTCGTATAAACTGGATGGGACTCAAACGTGAAAGAGTGAAATCTCTTTCCGTTTTTGTACGTTGGACTATAAATTAAAAAAAAAATTAAAATTCGTTCTAAATTTTAATCAAATTAATAGATGAAAACTTTATTTTTTAAAAAAATTCATAATTTAATATAATACTTCCATTTAAAATAGTTTTTATTGACCGTCAATTGATTAAAAAACTAATCTTTTAATTATAGTCAAATTAATTATAATATCTCTAACTCATTATTTATATTAACATTTTGGTCGCTCCATCCTGTTTTGGATGGATGGGACCAAAAGCTAATAAAAGTATTATTTAAAAACTTTATAATTGCTTTTGAAAATATAGGTCCCCATATTTTTATTTGATTGTAATTTAAGAATATACTAATTTTTTTTTTCCTATAAATTATCTATAATCAGGCTGAGTATTCTTCGCTTAAACGGACAAATTGAATAAATTCGATTTTTATACTTTTTTTTTTTTTAAATTTAGTTTTCATGAAGTTTAAAAAATACGCTCAAAGCCATTAAAAAGCAGTTTAAAACGGACTGAACTAGTCTGATTTTTGTACTCTATTTGGTTCAGTTTAATTTTCATTTCAAAATTTTTGATTTGTTTGACTTATTTTGATTCAATTTGATTTTAAAACTCAAACCGATGGTTTGGACACCCTACCTTGAACCAAAACTGGGTAGTTCCAAATGTGACAGTCTTGTTCAAAATCTGTTTAGTTTTTAAGGTGTACCAAAACTATAATGAATTCCAGCACGTTTTGGTCTAGTTGGAAATGATGAAACCATGGCTATGCTTGTATATTTGCCGGTCTTCAGTAACAGGAATCGTACATGCGAATGAATTATTTCTTTTGACAGTTCGAAAGTTGCTATGTCATCTTACCAAACACTGTTCAATTACCAATGCTTTTATTCAAAATCGTAGATAGAAGGAAAAAGAAGCACATGAACCTGATTTGCCCAAATCACATTTTGTTTGGAAAAAATAGAAGGAAAATACAAGATGCAACCCAGGATAATTAACAAGCCAATTCAACTTATAAATGATTAGGCTTATCATTAGATTGATACAAAATGTAAATATCAGACACTAATTTTCTCATGAAAAAAAAAAAAAAAACTTTGTTCTAAATCAAATAATAGAGGACCTGAGAAAAGAATTAACTTACTATGACAATCAAAAGACTAATTTCTCATTCATCATTTACACCATGAATGGCAATCGAAACTTTTTCGAATCAACATACAGTTGCACATTTTCGTCGTAACACAATTGTTGTTATTGTCAAGGATTTGAGTGCCACTCGACTTACCAATCAAGAAGCAGAGAATGGAGTTGTTTCCTCTCACTCCTCGAACCAATACGCCAAATCAGTTCACAGAAGCATATGCCATCTCAAAGCATTAGTTCCCTTCCACTTTGCAAGACAATAAACGATATTCCAGTCTTTTTATTTGCCAAAATATGAGAAGGGTATACTTTGCCACCGACTTCCCTTTGGTAACCCAGCTCAAAGAAAAATTCTCAGCACTGAAAAAATAACATCTACATATTCATGCTTCTCATGGGTATATTTTTCCAGAAAACACAGCAACCCGACCACCTACTCGTTATTGATTTACATTGCACTCGCCCAGGAATTGATCATCTCGGTTTAGAAAAGTTTTCCAATAGTGTTTATATTTCGGAATTCCTAGCTCCAACCAAGGTTTCATTTTTCCATTATAGTGCAAAACTGTAGCATTCATAATGACTTGCACTTGAAGCCCATAATCATGACCAAGTCCTGACAAAGCCCATGTATTGTCAAGAGCATAAATTTGATCCTGAAAGGTAAGCAAGCTTGCACTCAACGCAGTAGCTTCAACTGATTCTGTCAGCTTGCCAACCTGCTTTCCAGAAAGAGGTCAAGAAAACAAATGAGAAGTCCAAATTGCTAAATAATTTTTCGTCACTTGTCAAACTTGAATGCAAAATGAAAAAATAGAAACCAAACTTCATTTATTCAAAGAGAAAATTAATTAGACATCTGCGCAGCAACAATTTTGTCAAACGAGATAAAAGAAACAAATTAGCAAAGCATAATGGTGGATAAAACAAGTAACTTGAGTAGTCACCTGTTGCCTAAATTTCTGGAAAGTTTCTGTAAGATCCAGTTCTCTCCACCTAGCAAGATCAATTATATTTAATCCGGACATCCAAACACAAGAATTTTTGTCAAAGTTATTTTCACCCAAATAAGATGTAAGCTGACCCAACCGCACCGAACATAATTGCAAAGCACCATTGATTTTCCCTGCCATGTTGATATTCCATAAATCAGACAAGTCACGCTGGACAGCAACATCATCATCTAGAACCACGACTTTCTTCAAGTTTTGGAATATATATGGGAGAAGATAGTGAGCATGGGAGAAAACAGATAAGTATTCTGTTTTAAAATCAGTTCCAGATGGATTATCAGCACTGTGAAAAGAAACTCGGAACTCGACAGGCAGGGACATGCTTAACAAAGATGCCTTATCTTGATAGCCTAGGTCAAGTTGTTCGATGTTTAACACTTGAATGACAGCTTCCCTGAAAGTATTTCTAAAGAACCACAACCGCATTCCAAAATAATTTTGTTCATCTGTCAGCACATGAAAAACCAGATTCCCACTATCCTGCAGTGAGGAGAATAACCCATTAGTACTAGTATCAGAACTTATAGGCATTTAACAGAGAAAAGTGCAAAGAAGAATACATGAACGTACTCTTGTTTGTGCAACGGTTGAATTTATGACAACTGAAGATGCAAGTACATTTTTGGAGAATATAACATAGTGATGCAATTTAGGGTCTGAAAATTTCTCTGAGGAAGAGAGTACTATATCACGTAAAGAAGAATTGAAATATTCCACAGTAAGTTTCATGGACAGACAGTGAAGACTCTTTGGCATGGTCTGAACTGCAAGCTGATAGAGGAAAGCGCTCTGCTTCATGTGAAAGTTAGCTTCATCCTCGGTCAAATCAAGTATTTGTCTCAATTTCTTGTCAACGTTATGGCATTCTACAGTGCATGTTTTAGCTTTGGCTATTGCAAGCTCCATTTTCTGAAAATTCTTCTCAATTCTGGTCAACGAGACAATAAGTATCATGCTTGGGCAGAAACTATGAGAACTTACAGTTCAAGCACATTACATATGCTAACTCAGATAGATCAACAACTACAACTTCAATAATTCTAACAAAAGAGAAATGACCAACATAACAACTCTAATACCTTGACGACCATATAGATAAAGCTGAACAAACAATGATCTCACTACTCTATGAAATGTGGTAACTGATAAAACCAAAAAGAAAAAGTAAAACACATACACAAGACAAACTAGAATAAAACCTTTAAATTCCAAGATACTGCCTAGAATGAACACTTTATCATTAGCAATGACAGCAGAAGAAATGAAATGAATTTTAGGAAAATGACTATATTCACTATACCAAGAATAAGGCCCATAGCTGAAAAATTAAATGGTTGAACCCATCAGAGAAAGAATGTTAACTAGTTCTGGCAATAGGTACAAACTCCGAGTATTTTCCACTTCCAGCAGCTGTATTAGAATTTTCCAGACAAAAAGCACAAACAGGGAAATACAAACCCCAGTGCTAGTCCTATCTAAGAAGGGTAAACAAAAGGCTGATCAAGAAAAGGCCTTGGCAATTTTTCAACAATGTGGTCCCCCTCTTAAAGACTTGGACTCTATCCATATGGATGCAGAATCCAAAAATTAACCCCTAGCACTGGAACTTTATAGCAGATAAACATCAAGCCAGTTACAGTACAGAATCAAGCCCCATCCTACAAGAGATTTGCCCCTCTTTTTTGAAACATCTGAATAAAATATATATCAGTTGACAAAAATAACAGAACTCATTATGAGTTTCCAAAATTTTGAAGATAGTTATCACTAGCAAAAACACAGTGAATGCAAGTTATACCAAGTCCTATAGCATAAAACAAATTTTTTATATAATAACAGTACAAAATATATTAACTCTGCAAAACAAGCAAATGCACGATATGATGATAACAATAAGGAATATTAAGTATAAAATGAAAATTTTAGGTTCCTTCCTTGATACATAATACAAAAACCTCATTAACAAATTCCATGGTCACAGGATAAGGGACATTGCACAAAAACTTGCAATCACTTACTGTGGAGGAAGATCAGCATCTGTTGTGCTTTCACTGAGAACTCGCTCAAAATCTTGAATATTATGTCTCAATTCTTGAGATAGCTTGTTTTGTGCTGGAAGCTTGGCAATACTTGGATAATATGATCTAGCTACAAAAAGCCGGTCCTTTAATTTTTTCACCATAGCATCCTTCATATCCTCTCTATGTTCTCCACGCCATAGGCAATAACTCCCGAATCTAAGTTCACATAATTTTTCGCTTTCCTCAACTACACTTTTCTTGGGCTTAGTTATTTTGGGTATAACAGTTTTATCACGCTGCTATATATATTTAAAGAAAAAGAAAAAAGAAGAAAACAAAAGAAAAAAAAAGCAGAAGAAAAATTAAAAACTTTAAACGCATGTTACGTGAGAAACTAACTTTGCAGTAAAACATTGAAATGTGCATACTTCAACAATTAGTGGTCGTGGCAAAGAATGAGATGGCACTGGGGTACCTGTTGATTGTTTTTGAAAAAAAAAACTATGAAGTCTTATAGTACAAACAATTAACTAAGCAACACTTCAAGAGAATGAACTTGAAAGACCTCTTTGTTGTTGTTGGCCATCACGCTTTAAGTCTGTATTGCTACTTACATTTGTTGCTTCATTTGTATGATTTCTAAAAGCATTCTGAGAAACAAAATAAAACATTGTGGAGTAAGCACAATCTTATATTAAATACCTTTAGTACATTCTAGAAAAGAAAAGACATTAAAATTATTCATAAAGAGGCATTAAAGGAACAGGACTGCGAATTGATTGACAAAGAAAAAGAAACTGAAAAAATGACTCGAAAATTTGAAAGAGATCCCTTAAAATGTGGGAAAAAGAAAAAAGAAAAAAAAAATGAACATTCATCAAAAGAACCAAATAATGAACACTAACAAAGCTAATGCGAGAGGGGGAAAGTGCTGTATGCTTTGGGACCCAGAAAGCCAATAGCATATTTTAAAAGTTCAAATTTGAATGGAAACCATTCAGTACCCAAAATGAATCACTGGCAATATCATTTACTCCACTAATTTAGAAGGCAATTATCAAGGATAATTTACTGAAATTAAATATAAAAACTAAAGAAGAGTATAGATTTAAAACCCTAAATCTTTTGATAATATATGAAACGGGGTGGAAAATAGAAGCATCACTAATATGGCCAAAGAAGTTCAAGATTTGGAAAAAGAAACAAAGAGAAGAGTGATAGAAAGGAATGCAATCCAACTGTTAGGTATAGGATAGCATGTTTGGCAGGGATAGTTTGGCACAGCAATCATATAAAAAGAGTCAATCTTCCCATGTGGATATCTTTGGGTTTTTTTCACCCACATTAGAAGTGTAGCAGAAGCCAGAAGTACTTCTCCATCAAATCTTTTTAATGTGAACAAAATATATCATAAGACATATTTCAAAATTCAAAGACGCCTATGTCTTTGATATGCATCACATTTTCATTAGATTAAATGATTAAAAAAAAAAAAGAATAAATAGATGCCTTTTTTCAAATTACTTTAATCAATATATGTTAATTATGGTTTCATTCCCTTATGAATACTCTGTATTTATTTTGAATTAAACGTGTCTTATTCTATTAATTCTTTTTTGCATTTCCTAAGAATTTCATTCAACTTTTTTATTTTATTCTTGTATTGCATTAATGATAAAGGTTCATGCCTTCTCAAAATAAAACTTATAACTAAGTCAACTAGAACAGACACTTTACCCTTCTTTACTCCCTAAAATCTCTCTCTATTTTCTACAGCTTCAAATGTCCTGAATGATAATTGAACCTCAGCCCTTAACTGAGAACCAAAAGAAATGAAAAAAAATAATAAAAGGAAAAAAAAAGCACATCATAGTTATGTTTCCAAGTCCTCATATTTGATGCCACCCCGATTGCCAACCAGAACCACTAACCCAACACCTGCATAAGGCTCTATCTCTCAATGCTTGTTTTGTGTTTTCATGATGGTAACTAATAGAGTTTGTTTTTTGAGTTGCCTAATGTTACAGGATGTGTGGAAACAGGTGGACATCCCCTCGGAGGGTCCTTTTTTTTTCCCTTTTTCACCCCAAGTCAAGTATCTTAATAAGAGGAAGAAAGCAAAAGGTCTTAAGCTTTCAAAGGGGCAAGATGTGTTTGTGGTTGAAGCATAATGTAAGAATAATTAAGAATAATCATTCAATGTCATAAGTACTATGGGATAAGAACTTAGCATTTGGCTTCCTTGATTCTGCCAACAGTTGTTTTGAAATTTGTGTAGCAGATGAAAAGCAGGATTCAACAGCTCTTTTTGTGAATTTAGTTTAGTTTTTCCCCTTTTTGCAGAAGATTTCTCATCAATCTGTGACCTTTCTGAACAACTATCTGTCTGAACTGTTTTGCTCCACTAAAATCAGATGTCATATCATCTAGATTGACACATTTTATCTACTCATCTGCAAACTTAAGTACATGATCATTCACCTATTTGACTAGACAAGACAAACTTAGCCCAGCAATTATAATATTAAGCACAAAGTTAGACACAAATGTTCAACCGTAATAGTACAATAAATAAAGCATTGATTAACAGCGAATTCACTTGCAAACCTCTAGATGTGGAAGGGTTGGCCCAAAACGATCTATAATTTCCTGTATATTGGATTTGTCCCTTGTATTCCTCTACAAGTAAATAAAAGGACAAGCAAATGAAATTCCCTATTTGAGTTGGAAGCAAATAAATAAATAAACTGAAACTTGAAGAAGAATTTTCAAAGAAGCGTGATAGTCAATAGCGGAATTTACTATTAATATGACATTGATCTGGAAATGAAATACCTCAACATTGGCTACAGGACGAGTCCCCTGATCAACTCTTGCATCATTCTGATTCTTTGATTCAAGCAGAAAAAAAGAAAAGTCACAGAAGGTTCGTAACTACCATTTTATCAGTTACAAATCACTAATTAGTTTAAACACTCACCGAACCCGAACCCGAACCAGAACTCGAACTCGCTCGATCAGAAACGTACCCTAAGAAAGTGGCAAGTCAAAAAAAGAAAAACATCAACAAACGGTAATACAATTTGATGTTTTGGAAATATAACAAAGAGATCTAAAGTGCATTCAAGTGCAGATTGAATTCCATTAAAGGCAGGTATGGATCTGAAAAGATTCGAATAGCAATTAATAAACGGATCTAAATCTAGAAAACAGAGAGAAAGGAAAAGTACCAGTAGAGTGAAAACCATTGTAAAGGCCAAGTAAGAAGACGAGGGGAACGAGCATAGAAAGAACGACAAGGAAAAGCACTCCAATCGCCAAACACCTCCATCGTCTTTTCCCCGAATATCCCCCGCCTCCGCCTTTCATTACCCTCCTCCGCCTCTGCCTCTGTCTCTACCTCTGTCCTCCACCTTATTTTATATTTATTCTTGCTCCTCCGGCGATTTCTCGCCGTCTTGTATAATGAATGGCGGAGGAGTTCGTTAGGGACAAGTAGTAGTATGAAGCGGAAAAAGCGGAAAATGGTGTGTATATTTGGAGATGCGAAAAGAAATATAATATATAAAAAGGAAAAGCGTTTGTCGCTAAAAAGAGCAGTGAAGAGAAGTGAGCGGCGGTGAGTGAGTTGTTGGTGTTCTTCTTCTTCTACTACATTCGCAGATAGTAATTCCGTTTCTGCTTAGGCATCTTCTTGATTTGCTTTTCATTGCCCACACAAACTCTAACTCTATATTCAAGAATGTTACAGTTGGAGATTTGCACATGACGCTAATATTATTACTATACAAATCTTGCTTTTTTTTTAAATTATTGTCTTTATTATCTTGCTTTTTTTAATTATTATTTCTTTTGGTATAAAAAGAAAAAATGATATATATTTATTTCACATAATTTGTATATAATTAATAGTTGATTATCGGTTAAAATGATAACAGTTCTTTATTATTGATTTATATTTTCAGCGAAAAAACAGTTAAAATCTTATTTGTGTTAATTATTATTTTTCTTTTAGTTTGTTATTTATTTATTTATTATAATAAAATCTTATTTGTGTTAAATTATTATTTTTCTTTTAGTTTGTTATTTATTTATATAAATAATTAAAAACTAATAAATCAATTTAAAAATATAATAAAATATTTTTAATTTGAATAGATTATTTGTTCATATAATAACAGTATCCATTAAAAATTAGAATTTTAGGAATAAAATTTTATTTACTCTGAAATTCTTTTAGTATACATATATATATAATATTTTGATGTACTCCTTGGTAGGCAAGCGCGAGGCACAGTTTCAGGTTTTCTTTCTTTTCCTGTAAAAGATTTAAAAAAAAACAAATGCACAAAGAAAAAGATATAGAAAGATAGTGCTCTAAATAATTTTGTTTTTCCTTGTATTAAGGAATAAGGATAAAAGAATTTATACGGGAATTCTAATTGCTTGGCTTTAATTGCTTTTTGTCGCATATAAAACCAATGCCTGTCATTGCGTTATTTATTTATTTATTATAATAATTAAAAACTAATTAAATCAATTAAAAATATAATAAAATATTTTTAATTTGAATAGATTATTTGTCATATATAACTAGTATCCATAAAAATTAGAATTTAGGAATAAAATTTATTTTACTCTTGAAATTCTTTTATATACATATATATATAATATTTTTGATGTACTCCTTGGTAGGCAAGCGAGGCACTGTTTCAGGTTTTCTTTCTTTTCCTGTAAAAGATTAAAAAAAACAAATGCACAAAGAAAAAGATATAAGAAAGATGTGCTCTAAATATTTTGTTTTTCCTTGTATTAAGGAATAAGGATAAAAGATTTATACGGGGAATTCTAATGTGCTTTGGCTTTAATTGCTTTTGTCGCATATAAAACCATGCCTTTCATGCGAGTTGGCCGTTTGAATTTTAAACCAACATCTTCAATGATCAATTTTGTATTTGGAATTATTCTTTTTTCACATTTATGATTATATTTTCTCAAATCCTACTGTATAATTTTTTTTTTTTTTCTGGTTGATAGTGTTTTGATAATAAAAATTGAGTCAATGACAAGCAGTCAATTTGGTCATAAAGAAAAAAGGAGCCAATTAAAATAAAAAAAAAATTAAAATTTTTTAAGATGTGAAGTGAGTTGATTTGGTTCAGTCTGATCTTTTCTTTCTCTTAATTTGGTAAGTTTTGTAGTTTTTAAATTTTACATTATAAAAACCAAACTAAAAACATAACGGAGTTGTTTGTTTTTTCTGAAAATGCTTTCCATAAAATTGAAAAACGCAATTTTATATTCAAGTTTATCAATTTTGCCAAACCATAAAAAAAAACTCTGAATTTTGCAGATTGTTTTAATTATAAACCAAATGCAATTTTCTTCTTTATGAATTTAAAAATTAATTATAATTATACCATAATTTAAAATTGAATCCATTTTATTTAATTTTAGTAGGACTCACATTTTATCTCATGGTTAGCTTAACTGAAACAATTAGTTAAATTAAAACATGCCGTTTTGTTTTTAATTAAAAAATAAAACAAATCTCCAAATCATATGCCACTGTGGTCTTCATTCTGGTTGTCCCTCTTCTGCCTCTCTCTGCCGTCAATGTGGAGGGCCATCACTAGACTAATCTCAATACCCAAATATTCAAAAACTCAACAACTTGGCCCCAGCTAGAATAATCTCATTCTCCCTCATCGATAAGCTTTGTCTTCAATGGTTTTCAAATCTCAATCTTAATTATATAAAGATAATTAATAATTAAGCATATTCTGATTATTATTAATATTATTATTTAAGGCTTAAACCTTTGCTTGCAAGATTGGCAAGTGATCTCCATGCACGTAGAATCTATCTGCCCCCACGCAACTTGTTTCCGTTTTCCCGTCACTGAAATCACAAATGGGACCTGCTAAAACGGATTGGACTGAGACTGATTGATAATTGGAAGTCTATTGATGGCCCTCCAAATTGAGAGAGAGAGAGAGAGGGAGAGAGAGTGAAGACGGGTATGATTCGGAGATTTGTTTTTTTTTTTTTTTTTTTTAAATTAAAATCAAAACGGTACGTTTTAGTTTAATTAATTACTTGGGTTATACTAACCAACCATGGGAGAGAGAGAGAGAGAGGCAGAATTAAGACGCGTATGATTTAGAGATTTATTTTTTAAAATTAAAAATAATATGGTGTGCTTTAGTTTAATTAATTGCTTGAATTAAATTAACTATACAAGAGAATGTGAGTCTCATGAAAATTGAATAAAATGAGTTCAATTTCAAATTATGACGTAATTATAATTAGTTTTCAAATTCAGGATATTAAAAGAAGAAAGTTACGTTTGTAGTACAATTAAAACAATCCACAAAATTAAGAATTTTTTTGATTGTTTGGCCAATTTTCTATGGCTTTATGCACACTTGTATTGCACTCTAATTTCACTTTATTTTAATCCGTATATCAATTTCATCGTGAACTTTAATTTTATATTACAATAATATCCTAAATTATAATTAAAACTTAATTAAAAAATATATTAATATGAAACCCACTATGGACTTTATTCATATAAATTCAAAAACACATTAAATTAAAAAATTATTCTTGATTTAAAACCTAACCCACGACTTATTCTTTCTTCTTTTACCAAAATACTGTGTGTGGAATTAAGAAATTTTAATATGAAATTAAAATGACTATAATACGGTCTAGACTTTTAGAATATATTATTTTAACTATTTTTAATTAATTACACTCAAGTTATTTATATTAATATATTAATTAATGCAGCAGATCGATATTTATTAATTATTCTTAAACTCCTTATATTAATATATTTGAAATAATTTTTATTTTATTTTTATCTAATAAACATAATTATTTTTATAAACTTAATTTATTTCTTTAAAAAATAATGTTTTAAAATTACTTGTTCAAACCAAATAGTAACGATAAATCAAACTGAATTTTATATGTTACCATATTTAATATATAATATAATTTTTTATTTTATCGAATTGAATTACTATATTCTTATTATATTTAATATACCATATTTAAATCTCTTATTTATCATATTGAATTATTATATTCTTATTGTATTTAATATATAACTTAGTTAGAATATATATTTTATACAATAGATTTCAATTTAAAAAAAAAAATTAATATAACCGATTAATTACCTAACCCATAACAAAACCTATCCATTAATTAGTTTTTTTATAATACTTTTAATTAGTATTACAAGCTTTCCTGTATATATATATAAGTATTGCAAGCTCAATCTCAGTTGGAGCCTAATCATTTAAAGAAAAAAAGAGTGACCTTAGTGAAAATCATAAGAGGGACAGAAAGAAAATTGGCAAGATACAAATAAAGTCTGAATACAGTGTTTATAAAACGCATCGAGCTCTCCAACATTGGAGTTCCTCTCTCATACACAGTATTGTAATTACAAAACAATTTTCACTCATTACTATAACTACAACCAAAAAATGAAAAAAAAAAAAAAATCCTAATTAAAAGCTATGATATAGAACATTGCACCTAAATTGAACATAAGAACACAAAAAACCCTAAATTGAAATTCTATAGAAAAAGTCCTAATAATAATTTTGTCTCAGCATATATATATTTTATATTATATATGAGCAAATCTTTAAAAAAAAATGGAAAATGTCAATGGAAAAGCACATAGTGCTACTTAGGCTCTATCTTTGCAGGAAGTGAGTAACCTCCACTGTAATCAAATGCATGAATATCATTATTAACATCCTTTTTAGGCACATCATTATGATAAGGATGTCTAGGGACACCTCTTGAAGCTCCAAAATCAGTTGCAGAAGAGGAAGCAGAAGTTGAATTTGTGTTCATTCCATCATTTTGTAATATAGTCTCTATTGCCTTAACTACTTCACTCATTGTTGGACGTTCTGCAGCTGATTCTTCTACACATTGCATAGCTAACTCCAAAAACCTCCCAAACCCAACAAGATGTCCTGAGTTCTTAATGGCTGAATCCATTATTTCTCTCAGTCCATAATACTCTTCATCATCTTTGTCCATTGCTGTTCGCACTTCGCGAACAATGTACTTTCCTCTCTCAATCGGTTGCTTAGCAGTTACTAGCTCAAGCATTACTACACCAAAGCTGTAGACATCACTCTTTTCAGTTAATTGTTGTGTCATGTAATATTCAGGATCCAGATAACCCTGCAAATGAACACCATTTTCGCACACAAAAGTTACAAAACTAAATATTAATCCGAATGCACTATTAGTTTGCTTGGAATTGAGATTGGAGTTATTTTTCAGAAAAAAATGTTGTTTTCCAGATGCTGTTGAAATAAGTAAATGGAAGTTGTTGTTTTGTAGTTTCTTAAGACTGGAATTTGTGGCATTTACTTTAAATACAAACTTTTGCGACTTCTTATTAATATTTTCAAATATTGACTCATTTTCAATAACAGCTCAAACAACAATGTTAGACAGACCTATATATGCAATTACTCACCAGGGTGCCTTTAACTTGAGTTGAAACATGCCCTTTTGTACTGTCTGATACCAGTTTAGACAGGCCAAAATCTGCAACTTTTGCAGTTAAATTTTCATCCAGCAGAATGTTGCTAGACTTGACATCTCTGTGGATTATAGGAGGATCTGCAAGCTCATGTAGATAGGTTAGTCCTCTAGCTGAGCCAAGAGCAACGCGCAACCTCCTTTTCCAATCAAGATGAATACCAGACCTCCCTGCAGTGCATTTTATGAAAATAAGTTCCTCTAAATATAAAAATGGTATCATCAATTTTTCTTAATCTGCCGGCATATAGTTCAATGGAAGTGGATATACAAACATAAGTACCTGATAGGCTTTCCCTAAGTGTTCCATTTGCCATAAATTCATAAACCAACATCTGCTCTCCTTGTTCAAAACAAAAACCTACAAGACCAACAAGATTTTTGTGATGTACTCTTGATAGCAACTCAATTTCAGTCTTGAACTCGAGCCCGCCTTGCATGGATCCATGCTGAGCTCTTTTAATTGCCACTACTTGTCCTTCAGATAGCATTCCTCTATAAACCTGGGGAAGTCTTAAAAAGTAAAGCAGCAGTAGTAACTTGGAGAAAATTTTCATTAACCATGATTAATATCTTGAAAATTACCTTTCCATATCCTCCAGAACCTATCTCATTATTTTCGGAGAAGTTATTAGTGCACTTCTTAAGTTCATCATAAGAGAACCATCTTGCTCCCTTTAACTGTGGTGCACCTCCGCTATCTTTGCCACTTGGAGCCCAAGATGCTGGAAACAATAGTATGTCAGCCAATGCCTTTGTCAAATTTACTGATGCCAACTATTATTGAAATCAAGAATAAAGTTCTCATGTACTACTTACCAAATGGTCTACTTAATCCGAGTGCCTTTTCTGCGCGTTTCTTTTGCCTAAAAGCATATAGTCCTACCCCGACAAGGCTCAGAACTAGAAGTGCACAACCAATTCCTATCCCAGCAATTGCACTGGAGCTTACAGAATTTCCTTTATGCTCCTCTGCAAGATGTTTTATTCTTCTTATTAATTTATCATTCCAGTTAGAAGCACATAAATTACATTAATAACTAAAGAAATGATATATATAAGTTACCTGTGAAAGTATAAGGAGAAGCAATAAAAAGATAGGGTCCAAACTCTTTAGGAGGCTTATAAGTTTGATTACTCATGTAAAAACCAATCTTTATAACTTCTGTTCTATTAAAATATTTTCCAGCTGGGGGAAATAGAGCAAGCTGCACTTGAAGATAGTCATCGACATTGAAAAATGGATCTTGAAGAAAAACTGAACCAGGAGTCAAGTCCAATTTGACCCAAAGACTCATTTCTAGAGAATGAAACAAATTCACATTGGATAAGTCCTTGAAGGAGGGTGCTCTAAAGTACAATGTTCCTTCATATGGATAGGCACATTCACAACTCTGAGGGCTAAGCTTCTGTCCATCTGGACATTTTGTATTTCTACAATTAGCTGCCAAGGGAGTAGAATATGGCTTTGAATTCTGCTGCTGGAGTTGACAGTAATTAGTATTTGAGAGAGCAACACACACTGGATTTCCTACAAGTCTGAGTAAAGGATAATAGTAAGATAGAAAGCATAAACAATGCAGCCTAAGTAAATTTTTTTTTATGGTTTATCAAATTTCTCACATTAGTTCATTTGTGTAGGCTGCAGTTAATGTTACAGAAGAAATATTATTATTCTGCAGATCAACCAGTTGAAGCTGTGGACCGAGGCTTTTACCCATGTCCAGTTGGCCATTGAATGCATTGTTTTTCAATAACCTGCAAAGGTTTTAAAAGAAAATGAAATGTATTATTCTAAATGGCACTGTGTTTTTAATTGGTATTTTAAATTTCAAACAGAACTCACACTTGCTGTATCTGCTGTAAACTGAAGATTCTTGGTGGTAAAGGCCCTTGAAGTGATCCATGTTCTATAACCCTGCAGACCATATTAAAGATGGAATTTCAAAATTAGAAAACAAAATATCTATGTTTTCTAAATTTTAGATGTTTTATTTCTGACATACTGAGGACTTACAGTGTGGTCAAAGATGGTAAGGTTGAGAACCATGCAGGAGCTTCTGATGCGACAAAAGAGTTATTGCTAAGGTCCCTGTAATGATATTGCATTGCTCAGGACTCGTTAGAATGACAACAGAAACAGTTGAAGAAAAATAAACTAAAAGGAAAATCCACGGATTTGACGTACACATAATTAAGGGCATCCATTCCAGTTAAGTCTGGTAAAGGGCCAGTCAGATTATTGTGTGCTAAATTCCTGAAGAAAACATAGTAGAGTTAATCATAAATTAGTATGTTTAACCAGCTAGACTAAAATGGATGCCTCGTCAAAATATGTATGTGCTGTTTTTTAGCCCTTACAATTCACTGACGCTTGTAAGATTGTTTAAATTTGCTGGTACACTTCCTGTTAAAGCATTTCTATCAAGCCGGCTGTAGTGAATCAGAATGGTCAGCATTTCATGGAGATGAAAATTAGAAGAAAATGTTTGGACAAGAAAGATGAATTGGAGGCTGATTTCACTCACAGAACCTCAAGGGTCTGAACCAGTCCTAATGTGGATGGAATAGTTCCGTCAAGTAGATTTCCATCAAACAATCTGTCATCAATTAGAATGTCAAAAGAACAAACAAACAAAAAAGGGGAAAACAAAAACCTGCTGCTGGTTATCAACTTACACATGTATTAGTACCATATCAGAGCTGAAAAGCTTGGAAGGAATTGGACCTGAAAGCTGGTTCTTATTGAAATGGCTGCAAGTTCACAAACCTTGTTATGCAACATTCAATTGCTTAACAGCACATAAAAAGAGTTAGAGAGTTTTGATTCATTCAATGAATATCAGCCATTGCATAGCATATTGTCCAAATCACGACTGTGAATCACTCACATTTAATAGACTAAATAATCATTTTTCTAAAGAAATTGGCAATAGCACTTACAATGACCATTACACACTGACAAGCCTATACTATACCTACACTGCAAGCGTGAATCCGATTCAAGACCTTGATTCATTCTAACTAATCTTTCACAAGCGGGGGGTTAAAAAAATTATACTCACAAGTGCTTAGCTTTTTTAAGGAGGTCCAAGCCTGGAGTGGTGGGTGTTGAAATTGGGATAGGTCCAGTCAGCTGATTATCTGCCAGGTCTAGCCAGTAGACATTGGAGAGTCTTCCCAGAGATGAAGGGATGCGACCAGTCAAGTTGTTTGAGTTGAGAGCCCTATGAAGAAGAATAATATTCAGAAGGTGAACAAACAATTAAATATTCACACAATAATGATTTTTATTACTTTACTTACAAGAAGGAAAGCTGAGCAAGATTGCCAAAATCATCTGGAATACTACCGGTGAAGCTACAACCAGCAAGAATTCTGAAAAATGAAAGAAAATACAGAAACGGAAGTTTTAATGTGGGAAAAAAAAAAAAAAAAAGCTAAGTGGAAATTTTCTACCAATGGAGATTTGGAACTGATTGGATCTTACAGTATATTCAAATTTTTTAGATCTCCTAACCGCGGAGTTAGAGATCCTGTAAGTTCTGGGTTGAATGACAAGTCCCTACAATAAAATAACCTCACAATTTGAACATTAAAATAAAACATAGCTTAATTTTAACATTACTTCACTTACAGTTTCGGTTGTTGCAAAAATTTTTGCCTTTTATGTACCTTAAAGGGGAAAGAAAGGAGAGAGAGAAACTTACAGGGATCTCAATTCAGCAAGTTCTCCAATGTCACCACTCAGCTTTCCTATGATGCCCATTGTTGATAACCCTCTAAAGTAGAAAGGCAGAAAAAAAAAACTATATAACAGATAAAGAAAAAAAAAAAAAAAAGAAAGAGGAATAATCAAGATTTAAATTAGGGAAAACTCACAAGGCAGTGACCCTTGAGTCCTGGCATGCAACTCCTTCCCATGGTGTTCCACAAGGATCTCCATTGCCCCAGCTCGGCGGAGTATTTTGCCAGGTATCTTTCAGGGACTGGAGAGCTGCAGCTGCATCACCACAAGAATAAATGAACAAATAGTTGTGCATTGTTATTTCTCGAACTATCAGAAAATTAGCATTACATATATACCTAAAACAACTATTTACTTGATTTTGATTTTCAGTTTCAATTTTCATCAAGAGTTAAAGATCATAATAAAATGATCAACTGAACCTTCCTAGAACAATGCAATCCTAAATCCTACATAACAGAACACCAAAAATGCTACTTTCATTCTATTTGCTATAACAGCAAACATAAATAAAAAGCAAAAAGAAGAAACTGGAGATAGTACTTACCATCACGAGGGTCAGTTACGGAAAAAGTGAATATAATTCCTGCAGAAAAGAAAGCAAAAAAGAAAAGCAACCTGAAGGCTGCAGCCATGGCAGCAAGCAGGCTAGCTATCTAACTGCAAAATGTGAAATTTCTCAATAACGACCAAACTAAAGACACAAAAGCCAAAGACCCTTTAGTCAAATGAGCATTAAGTTGCTATGCCGGCCGGCCTGGAAGATGATGATGCATTGTTTATCGGGTGAAAGAATTAGCAATGTCCATAGTAATGAATGAATAAATTTTTGACCCAAAAAACAAGAGAAGAAGGCTTCTCCTGACCTTTTTTTGCTTGTTTTAATTGATTTTGTCTTGTCTTAGAAGCCACTCTAATAGCTAACTCTTCCCACTAACAACATTGCAATTAGCAAACCCACCACCATAATCATTATTTTTATCATCTAATGTTCTCTCTTGTTCTCTCTTGTTCAAGTCTCTTTCATAATCATTATTATAAAAATTGCACGTTTTACCGTTTCCTCCGCCTGCAACAATAACAATGATAATCCTTCTGAAAATCATTTTGGTTTGGTTAATAAACTATAAAGCATCTTTTAGAACGGCCCAATGAAGTGATTTTTTTTTTTTTTGTTGAGTATATTTTAAGTAATACCCTTTTTTATTATTATAAAACCGTACTATTAAAATCATTGTTCTCTCCATTATGTAACATAGCAACTTTAGTATTCTCTATCTTGTTGGAATTAAGGTTTTTTTTTTTTTATTTTTCATCCATTCAAATAAATAAGAATAAAATACTTTTCTCCCTTAAATAACGTTTTTAATGTAGAATTCAAATCCAAGACTTCTTGTTCATCACATAATGATAGTCAAATATGATTAAGTTGAAAAAAAAATTAAGAAAATAAAATTCTCATATAATATGTACTTAATTTTTTTTATTTAATTAAATATTAGTTTCATTCAAACTCATAAATTTTTTTTAAAATAATCATTATTTTTAACTTTATAATAAAGAGATGAAATGATATTTTTAATATAATTTTTATTGTTCAAAAAAAAAGAAAAAATTTGTGTAGTATAAATTATTTTTTTATAATATAAAAGGTGTACAATGTAAAATGTTTTTTACATTTTAATATTATTTTTTATTTATGGCAATTTCGAGTTTAAAATCCAAAACCTATTTATGTTTTATACACTTAAAATTTGAAAAATCTATTTTATTTTTTATTTTTAAAAAATGAGAAAGGGCCCACTTCATCACCACCATGATCGTTCATCAGCATCAACAGCTGTCAATAATTCTAGAATTAAAAATAATATAAAAATCTATTGTCAAGATTACTCTCTGAATTAGAAGAGAAACTTGCAATTTACTTAATCTAATGCATATTTTAAATGCATACATTTTAGCATGTCATATTAACTATTATTTTCAATTAAAATATATCATTTTTAGCAATATAAAATGACAAAGTCAGTATTGCTTATCTTAATAAAAATAGTAGTTTAAAGAATTTGGAGGACCCATGGTTTTATTTTTTACTTTATTTTATTTACAACAATCTTTCTTTTTACATAACATTTTCAATATACCAAATTAGAAATAACACATTAAATGAATAAAAACTGTTGTTGACGAAAGGATTTAAATATGAGATTTCTCATTCATCACATAATAATAATCAAATAGGATTAAGTTAATAAAGAGATTAAGAAAATAAAAATTCTCATATTATATGTACCTAATATTTGTTTTAATTATATATTTAGTCTTTTTCAAACTCATAAAATTTTGAAATTGATGTGAAATAATTATTTTTTAAAAAAAATAATCATTATTTTTAACTTTAAAATTGAAATGCAATGATATTTTTAATATAATTTTTATTTTCACAAACAAGGAAAAAGGGTTTGTAGTATAAAATTATTTTTAACATTTTACTTTAAAAATATGAAAAAATTATATTTGACACTCTAAAGTTTAAAAATTTTGGTTTAACTTCTTCAAAATAATTGTTATATTGCTCCGCCCATGGCCACGACTAAATTATAACTTTTTGACAAATGACTGAATTATAATTTATAAATGTGCATCCGCTAAAAGGATATTATAACATAAAGGATTTTTATAAAGTTAAGAAATTTTTCCTTTTTGATTGGATGCTACTAAAAGAGAAATATTAATTCACAAAATATTGAAAAAATTCATCTACTAATAGAAATATTTCTCTCTTTTTTTTGAAAAAAAAAATTTACATTTCATTATTATTTACTGGAAGCCTAACGGACCGGAATAATATCGTGATTATATAATAAGCAAAAGCTCTCTCGTTTATTCATCAAATTGACCGAAATTCTTAAATTAATGAGATCTAGACCTGCATTCTTTCACTCTTTACTTAAATGAAAAGCTGACCAAAACGACTTGATTTACAAATTCAGATTAGCTAATTTGTATCATATAATGTTCGTTTGAAATACGTACGTTGATATAAAAATAATAATAATTAATAAATTAAGTTCAACATGCTATGGAAACCTGGCCATGACAAAATATAAATGATTCTTGACATATAATTGTTGTTGAAGCTTAATATATTTTATGTTTTCTTGTTGTTGAAAATATTTTTAATAACTGTTTATTATGAAAATAAGTGTAATAACTAGTAATTTTGGTTGAATTCTTATTTTGGTTAATCACAAAAGCTCGATTAATTAGACTTTTATTTTCTTTAATTTTGATGTGGTTAATAATCAAAATTAGTTCGCTTAAAATAATTCGATTAAGTTCAATTAAATTCAGTTAAATAAAAAAAATATTAGTGAAAAATGTTCAGTTAAAAAGGTTAGCTAAATTAACCAAATCGGTCTAATCCTCGCCCTACCGTCCGACAAGGAAGCAATATGATTCCTCTTGCAAAGTCATTACAATTTCTACTAATTTCTTAGCTGGTTTTTGCCGCGTCTTTCGCTGTCTTTGACATTTAATCAACCATAATACCCCAATGTCTGACACACTTTACTTTTTTAGGGCATGTTTCTTTTTCTTTTTTTACTTTATCCTGAAAACAAAATGATAAATAAAAATATCTAAAATTACATGTTTACTAATTAAACAAAATTTATTAAATATGTTAAAATTATGTTTATAAAAAAAAATATTTTCTAAAATAAACTCAAGTTATTTAAATATAAAAATATTGTAAACTTTTCAGTTTTGCTATTTTTTACTTTTGACGGTACTGTAGAATGACAATAATAACACTAAGGTAAATTCACATAGAAGATTACAAACTATTTTACTATTCATATTTGTCAAAAGTAGTACCTTTTTATCAACAAAAAATACACACCATGTAACTTGATAAACTACTGCATTGACTGCAAATTATTTTACTGTCCATATTTATCAAGTTCGTTTAAAGTAGCTTTTAAGCGGATAGGGTAAATTATCTAAATCCAAAAATGTTTAAGATACTTAAATGAATAGACACGAGTAGGATATGTATGAGCACAGTGACCAAATCCGTTTAGTGTAATGGCAATCAAGAGAGCTAAACTCATATTTTATTTTTACTACTTTTAATTATTCAAACTCATTTATAACTATTTAAATCCATACGAATAAATGAAACTAAGATAGTTTAATATCTAAAAGTAACGATTGCACTTGCTCTAATTTGAACATAATCATAAAACCAAGTTTGGATGAGAAAAAACATCAAAATTTTTGTGAGTGAAATACAATGTATTAGATTCAAAATTTTTCTTAGAAATTAAGACCCGTGACATGATAAGGAACACGTCTTTGTGTCTTTTGAAACATAAATAGAGATGACAAAATCAATCTAACCCGATGGGTATGTACCTAACTCGAATACAGTCAAATTCGAATTTTATAATTTGAACTGGATAATAACATTTCATACCTGATATAGTATAAGTAGGATATAGAGATTGGTTTGGGTATATTCATTACATTACCCGACCTCAACTTACCCATTGTCATCCCTAGACGTAAATACAAACCCATTGTCATCCCTAGACGTAAATACAAAATCTAGATATGGATGCCGTCAGCTAAGAGTCTGCATCACAAAATCATGGTCGAATAAAACATTTCACAAAACAATAATAAAGAATATTGCAATGACAAGGAGAGGCAAATTAAGTAGTGTGAAAGGTTGGTAGAGAACGTGGCTTCACCAACAAGCAGAACAATGTGTGGAAGGACGCATAAGCAAAAATCACTTAGAAATGATTTTTTACCACAACAAGTGCACATCTAGATCTGCATATTGACAATGATGGACTAACATCAACCTGGATGATACTTATGTAAGCAATTACCTGTTGTTGGTGGCTCCTCCTACATTTCTCTTTATCTTTTCATTTGTGGGATTGGATTGTTGCTCCCCTCAAATACATTGAAATGTTTTAACTTTGAGGTGTGAGTGATTTAAGACCAATTTGATGAACCCTTCGTCAAATTCAGTTTTATATACTATATTCCAAAAAAATTAATTAAATGTCCATCTACTAAATGTATTTTTCGGACTCATCTCATATTTTCATCTTACGAAGATTGAAGTTGCTTATCACCTAATTAATACGTTATTAATTCGATTACATGTGTTATTAATTAATACGTTTTTTTTTTTTTAGTCTATACGTATCTTGTGTATCTGAACTGATTTGAGCCACTAGAGATGGAGCTCATAACAAGATGGTGGCTCTTCCAGGCAAAGCAACACCAGATACTTTTGTTCCAAATGTATATCAAACTCGAATTTGTTCTAAAACTTGCTGCGAAGAGTGTTCACGATACTAGCAAAGTCCTCTTAAAGGAACTTTGAAGAAGGCCATCTCCATCCACAACCCTGATATAAATGACATTCTATTCTTTTCCATAATAATAGTAAATCAGTAAAATTATAGTTATATTATTATATTATAATGATTATTATTAAATTTTTAGTTGATCATATTTAAATTGATATCTAAATATATTTATATGCATATATATTTTAAAATCTGTGTATATTTAAATTGAAATGAAATTTGTTCAAATTCAAATTCCAATGTTTGAGATTTTTGAATTGGTTTATAAATAAATTTTAATTACATAAACTAGATTTATTAAAATACTCCAATCATAATTAAAAAAGTTTGACTACTAAAATAATCTCAAAAAATGTAAAATTAAAAAATAACTAAAAAATATATTTAAATATCAATTATTTTATGTATAAATACCATTATTTAATCAAAGCTAGTTTACTTTCAATTTCCATCTAAAGAACAAAAGTTTTTCAAAATAAAATTTAATAATTATGGCTATCTTTTTTTTATTAAAAAAAGAAAATAATATTTTCTTTGATCCAATGCAAAAGTAAAATTAAAATAGGAATTTTTTTTTTTTTTTTCGTTCTTTGATATAAAGTCTCGAAATGAAGCTGAAGAAGGCTTTTTTTAAGTCTTCAATATCTCAGTTGTGAGACCACCTCCGCAAGCTACGCCAATGGCGGCAGCCACCGCTCCTTACTCGGCTGCTCACGCGTCCAATCCCTTGCTCACGCGAAGAGCAGCACACACTAGATTTCCTACAATATGGCATCATAACATAAGTTCATACAGATTTGTAATTTGTAATCCTCCTTCTATATGGAAATCCAAATAACGTCAGGTTTGGATTTCCATGTAGAGTAAGGAAAGATGAGTGTGTCTATAAATACCATCGTATATTCAGAATTGAGCAACATATTTTCTGCCGCTGCCATGAATCCCATCATCCCTGTTTGGCATCACAATTTCGTTGACGAACTGAAATGTATAGACACCCTTCTTTATTTCCATAGAGTTGTTTCTGTCGATACTGAGTTTCCAGGCTTTCTTATTCGTACTCCAAGACGTGCCTGTGAGTTTCATACCTATTCTAATTTGAAGCATAATGTGGACGCAACAACACTTATTCAGTTGGGCCTCACCTTATCTGACGAAAACGGCGCGAAGAGCAGCACACACTAGGATTTCCATACAATATGGCATCAATAACATAAGTTCATACAAGATGATTGTAATTTGTAAATCCTCCTTCTATTATGGAAACCAAATTAACGTCAGGTTTGGATTTCCATGTAGAAGTAAGGAAAAGATTGAGTGTGTCTTATTAAATACCATCGTATATTCATAATTGAGCAACATCATTTTCTGCCGCTGCCCATGAATCCCATCATCCCTGTTTGCATCACAATTTCGGTTGACGAACTGAAAATGTATAAGTAAGGAAAGATGAGTGTGTCTATAAATACCATCGTATATTCAGAATTGAGCAACATATTTTCTGCCGCTGCCATGAATCCCATCATCCCTGTTTGGCATCACAATTTCGTTGACGAACTGAAATGTATAGACACCCTTCTTTATTTCCATAGAGTTGTTTCTGTCGATACTGAGTTTCCAGGCTTTCTTATTCGTACTCCAAGACGTGCCTGTGAGTTTCATACCTATTCTAATTTGAAGCATAATGTGGACGCAACAACACTTATTCAGTTGGGCCTCACCTTATCTGACGAAAACGGCAATATCGCCGGTTGCTGGGAATTCAATTTCTCTTTTGATGTTCAAACAGAGGTGCATACTGATGATTCTTTAGAATTTCTAAAAGACCATGGTATTGATTTCGACAAGTTGAAGAATGAGGGAATTGATGTTCGTTTCTTTTCGGATGCTTTTGGTCATATTTTAGCCAAACATAGAAATTTGATATGGATTACTTTCCATGGATTGTATGATATGGCTTACATGCTTACAATGGTTACCAAAAACTCACTGCCTCATTCTTCTCTTGAGTTTACTGAGTTAATTGCAAATGTGTTTGGTTGCTATGTTTTTGATATCAAGTATATAGCGACATTCTGCGATGGTTTACGCAAAGGCCAGTTGGGGTTAGAGAAGTTAGCAAAGATCCTTCGAGTTAAACGAGTTGGCGGCGCTCATCAAGCAGGATCTGATAGTTTATTAAGTGCAGAAGTATATTTTAAGTTGAAGGCAGTTTATGGAATTGATGAATCGAAACATGTGGGGTTCTTGTATAGCATTGGCAACCGAATTCGCAGATCAGTACGTCCAAGAGTGCTGTATCCTTCATTTACTCGCCACTGTCAGCCCAAGATTTATCATCCCATGTTGGTTCCTCCACCGTTTTTTCATCCTTTTGTTTTGCACCCTATTCGCTCGAATGTGATGTTTTTATAAACGAAATATGTTATCAATTTAGTCAATAGGTAAACTTAGTGCTTAATGCATATTGGGTATAAGTGTAAACTTAGTAAAATTCAGCTGTTAAGCTTTTTTGAGAAAACAAAGAGAGAAGTTTCCAATAAAAATTCATTCCATTTCTTATTTTTCCTTCCGCATGATATGGATGAACAACCATTCCAGTATAGTTTTATCTGCTTGATATATGTGTGTTTTTTTTTTCTTCTTTATCAGTATCAAACCATGTCTTTTGCAGCTATTTAATGGATTCCTTGCATGTCGTTTTGATGCTGAAGCCGAGAGAAGGCTTTTAGTCTTCAATATCAGGCGACTTCGACAGGTTCGCTAGGGATGCTGCTGAAGTTGAATTGTTCACAGTAACTAACATTTGAGAGTGCAGAGCACACTGGATTTCCTACAAGTCTGACCAAAGGGGCATAGTAAGATGTAAGATGGAAAGCATAAACAACACAGTTTAATTAAATTTCTTTTGGGTTTATCTAATTTCTCACATTAGTTTATTTTTATAGTCTGCAGTTAGTGTTACAGAAGAAATATTATTATTCTGCAGATCAACAAGTTGAAGCAGTGGACCAAGGCTTTCACCCATGTCTAGTCGGCTACTGAATGCATTGTTTTTCAATATCCTGCAATGGCAAAAGTTTTCCAAGAAAATGAATGCTTTAGTTTAAACTACATTTGAACTATTTTCTGAATTCTCAATTGGTATATTTAGATCCCAAGAAAACTCACACTTGCTCTATGTTCTGGAAACTGAAGATTTTTTGTGGCAAAGGCCCTTGAAGTGATCCATTTTCTATAACCCTGCAGGCCATATTAATGGTGGAACATGGAAATGAGACGATACAATATCTATATTCTATAAAATTTTCAGATGTTTCACTTGTGACATACTAATAAGGACTTACAGTGTGGTCAGTGATGGCAAGGTTGAGAACCATGCAGGAGCTTCTGATGGGAAAAAAGCTTTGTTGCTAAGGTTCCTGTAATTATATTGCATTGCTCAGGCTTCAGGACTCATTAAAATGACAACAGAACAAGTTGAAGAAAAGTAAACAGATTTGACATACTCATAATTAAGGGCATTCATTCCAGTTAAGTCTGGTAAAGGGCCTTTCAGCTTATTATTGCTAAATTCCTGAAGAAAACATACAGAGTTAATTATAAATTACAATGTTTAAACCAACTAGACTAAAATGGATACCTAGTCAAAATATGTATGTGGTGTGTTTTTTAGCGCTTACAATTCACTGACGCTTGTAAAGATTGTTTAAATTTGTAGGTACACTTCCTGTTAAAGCATTTCTATCAAGCCGGCTGTAGTGAATCAGAATGATCAGCATTTCATGGAGATGAAAATTGGAAGAAAATGTTTAGTCAAGAAAGATAAGTCTGAGGCTGATTTCACTCACAGAACCTCAAGGGTCTGAACCAGTCCTAATGTGGATGGAATAGTTCCGTCGAGTAGGTTTCCATCAAATAATCTGTCATCAATTAGAATGTTAAAAAGGAACAAACAAAAAAAAAAATGAAAGAAAGGAAAGTCCTGTTGCTGGTTATCAACTTACACATTATTAGTACCATATCAGAGCTCAAAAGCTGTGAAGGAATTGAACCTCAAAGCTGGTTGTTGTTGAATTGGCTGCAACTCACAGAAGTTATGTTATGCAATATTCGTTTACTTGATAGCACATATAAAGGGGTTAAAGAGTTATACTCACAAGTGCTTAGCTCTTTGAGGAGATCCAAGCCTGGAGTGGTTGGTGTTGAAACTGGGATAGGTCCTGTCAAATGATTATCTGCCAGGTCTAGCCAGTAGAGATTGGAGAGTTTTCCCAAAGAGGAAGGAATTTTACCAGTCAAATTGCTGTTGTTGAGGGCCCTATGAAGAAAGATAATACCCAGAAAATGAAATATTCACATGATCATGATTCTCATTACTATGACAAACTCTTACAAGAAGGATAGCTCAGCAAGATTTCCTAATTCATCTGAAATACTACCAGTGAAGCCACAACCAGCGAGAATTCTGAGAGATGAAAGAAAATACAGAAACAAAAGTTTTAATCAAGGAAAAAATAAGCTGTGCAGAAAATTTTGTAGCTATATTTGAAAGTTATTGAATCTTACAGTGTAGTCAAATTGTTTAGATCTCCTAACCGCGGAGTTAGAGATCCTGTAAATGTGTTGAATGACAAGTCCCTACAATAAAATAGCCTCAGAACGTGAATATTAAAGCAAAACATAGCTTAAATTTAACAGCATTTCAGTTTCTACGTGGATTGCATCAAACATTTTCCTGTTATGTACTTAAAAGGGGGAAAAAGAATGGGGGAGAGAAAAGGAACTTACAAGGATATCAATTCAGTAAGTTCTCCAATGTCACCACTTGGGTTTCCTTTGATGCTTATACTTGATAACCCTCTAATAAGTAGGAAGGCAAAAAAAAGAAAAAGAAAAATTACAAGAGATGAAACAAGAAAAAGAAAAATTACAAGAGATGAAACAAGAAAAAGAAAAAGAATAATCAAGACTTGAGTAATTAATAGAAAGCTCACAACGAGTGACCCTTGAATTCTTGCATGTAACTCCTTCCCATGGTGTTCCACAAGGATCTCCATTGCCCCAGCTCGGCGGAGTATTTTGCAAGGTATTTTTGACGGACTGGAGAGTTGCAGCTGTTTTAACACGCAAATGAGTAAATAAATATGTCAATTTTTATTTCTGAAACTATCAGAAACTAATAACATTGAAGAAGACAGCACTTACCATCACGAGGGTCTGTTAAGGAAAAAGTGAAATGAATTCCTGCACAAAAGAAAGCAAGAAAGAAAAGCAACCTGAAAGCTTTAACCATGGCTGCAGGAAGGCTAGCTCTGTAACTGCATAATGTGAAATTTCTCAGTAATAAACAAAGTAAAGACCCAAAAGCCAAAAACCCTTTTGTCAAATGCTACAAATGATCATTTGCTCTGCCGGCCGGCTTCCAAGATGACGCATTGTTGGGAATTCCGAATTCAGAGTAATGAATTAATTTTAATTTGTCAAATGATATAAATTGTCCAAAAGAAAAGAAAGGGAGAATTGATTGACATTGTAAATTGATTTTGTCTTGTCTTGTAACTTAGAAGCCACTCTAATACCTAGCAATTCCACTAACATTGCAATTAGCAAATCCACCAACATAATCATTATTATAAAATTTGTAAGTTCTAATATTTCGTCAACTTACTCATATGAGTTCAATTAAAGATATAATTATTTTTTATATATTATGATTGTATGTATATTTTTATTTTTTGAAGTGAGTATATTATTTTTTTATTATAATTTATTATATAAATAAAATAATATTAACTAAAATTTAATTTTAAAAGAATAATATTAACTAAAATTTTAAAAAATATTATTTAAAATAATCATAAAAAATATTAGTTTGAAAATTTATCAATAATTATTTTTCTAAAGTTAATGAAGTCCAATTGTTTTTTTTTTCTATTATTTATTTTAAAGAATTGAAATGAATTATAGAACATGCTAGCTCTCCTATTTCCATAACCTCAACTTCTTGTATCGAAATTCCAAGTGGTTTTTTTTTATTTTTTTTTTTATGATGAAATGTTAATATTATTCATTGATGATAAAAGTCATTTATGGAATCCAAAAATGTGTCTATAAATATTAATTAAGGTGATATTTTATTTAGTTATTTTATATTATATAACTAATAATTGATTTATATTTAATCATTAGGTCAAATTTATTTTTAGAAAAATAATTTATAATAATTCTTTAAAAGTAATATTTTATGTAATCATTTTACTTATTTATCAATAATAAATATTATTATAATAATATTTATATTTATGTAATGAATTAAACTATATATATATATATACACACATGAATTTTAGTCACTAATAAATATTTAATGGTTACTAGATATCGGCTGTTAGGAATAATTAACTCAATCGACCTCCGTTGGATTTTAAGCTTTTACTGTCATCTTTTTTAATTTATTGATTTTTAATCTTTTAAAAAAATTAATAATTTTAGCTGTTTTGTTTATAGATTTTCTTAAGACATAACATTAACACAAAGCTTTGATAAGAAAAAATATTAACTTTTATAATATCATTTCACTAAATATAAGAGAAATAACGAATTATAATCTACTCCGTTTGATTAACTTTTAACAAATTTTATAAATACTAATATAAATATACCACAGTTCGATGCTATCAGCATTATATTTATTATATATGGTTGGAATATATAAATCATCCATAAATTTTATAATTATAAATTTATATTATTTTCAACTTTACAGATGATCTATTATATAGTTGAACTTGAAAATTTTGATAACATTAGATTATTTTCAATACTAACAATAATAATTTGCAAGGCCTCTAAATCCAACTAGATTTCTGCTAGAGCCTGATGGGTTGGGGCTATTTGGTCCCGTGGGTTTCATTAATCTGGGTTTTTTCACTCTCCTTTGTAGTAAAAAAAAAAAAAAGAAATTTAGACTTGATAATTTTTATATATAATGTGTTGTTAGCATAATTTTTAAAATTGTAATTTTTATTTTTAATTATTTATTATAAATATGTAATTATTTTAATTTTATAAATTAATGTTGTTAAGCATTTAATCTTTGGGAGATGTGTATCTTGT